CAGCAGATCTCCTAGCCCCTTGATGTTGGACTTCTCTGCCTTCACAACCGTGAAAGATAAATGTCCGTTGTTTAACCCACTCAATTTATAGTATATTTGTTATAGCAGCCTGAAGTAACCTATGTTCCTAAATTCTTAAATCTGGTACTGAATTGCAAACAATGGGAAATATCACATGTTTAACATTTGCCCATAGTCAAATTCCTTGCCACTCCTTTTAACTGTGCTCCTTATAATACCTACATTGTTTTAGGCAGCCTTCACCATGTACCCTTGATATATTTGAAACTGGTGTTTTACCAAGAAACCATCTTTTTCTTTTAGTTTCTTGCAGCACATCCTGTTCATTCCCTATGAACTATGTGAGCCAGGAGCTAACACTGGCCTCCTCTTAGCTCTCTGCTGCTGATTTCAGGACACTGCACATTCCAAGCACCTCTCCTTGGCTGCCTTGACACTTGGATATAGAACCCTTGAACTCGACTTATCTTTGCAGCAGTTACCTTCAGAGCTTGTGGTCACTCTAACACAAAGGTTCTTGACGTTATCTGCACATTAAATTCACCTGGAAAGCTTTTACAATCTGTCCTTGCCCAGGTCCTATTAGAAATCAATTAAGTCAATTTGTGGGAGTGGAAATAGTTATCAGCATTTATTTTTTTAATTCCTTAGGTGATTTCAATGTGAAGTGATTCTGCTCTAACACAAGAATCAAGAAAGTCAGTTCTTGTTTATCCCAACTCTTGCAGTCCTGGAATTTCAATGTCCTAGGTCCAGGGTCCTAGTTCCTCCACTAGCTCAATTCTAATGACATGTCCTTCAATATCACTTCAGCTCTTCTATACACTCTGTGTGAATTTATCATTACCTAGAGTGGCTTGATGTGAAATATTAAATAAGTGAGAGTCTCTGCTTTAAATGCTGTAGTTAAAACTTGTAGGCTCTTTCTACATATGGCATTTTGCCTCTACTTGGACATGGGTAGTTTACTGCCACTTTTAAGAGAACCTTGCTTTCTATGTTTGCCAATCTTCTGATCCTAAATCCTTTGTAGGATGTAGGATCTGGCTGGTGCTCCACGTTGTATCACTCCAATGACTCACTTATCAATGCCGTCAAGTCTCTTACCTTGTATTCCTATCATACCCACAACCCCAGTTACACATCAAACCGAATCTGCCACCTCTACAGCTATGCCCTAGGATGCTCAGCATTACTGAAAAAGAAAAATCCAACTACACAGATTAATGTCACCTACATTTTCTTTTTTTTTTTTTTTAAAGAATTATTTAACTTTACCTGTTTACTTATTTTCATTTGGCCAGAGAGGGACAGAGCAAGCATGTGCATGCACTAGAGAGGCAGAGAGCGAGAGCAAGAGAGAGAGAGAAAGCTGCTAGGTCTGGGACTTGAACCATGGTCGGCCATGTGGAAGTCCAGTGCCCTTAATCACCACACCACCTGCTGACCTCACTGCTACCTACATTTTCAAGTATACAAGCAGCTCCTAGAACTAGTGAGGAATGTTTTCATATGTCCCAAATGAATTTTCACTTCCACTCTCCTTATAGATATTCAAATGGTCACTATTATTCTTGGGTTCCTTTCTCATCCTTTACCCTTCAAAGTGAACCTTGCTTTCTACTTTGGAGAACATAAAACTATTCCTACTGTTTAGACTTCTACTTTAACAACTTATCTGCATCCTCATCCACAGTAATAGGGGCACTGCTCTAAGCTTAGCACATTTTTGGCCGGGTCATTCTTTGTTGACAGGGGACTGTTCTCTGTATCCTTAGGATGTTCAGCAATAACCATGAACTCTACCTACTAGATGCCAGTAGTATCCTCCTCCTTGCAGCTGAAAAACAAACAAACAAAAAGTTTCTAGAAATTGTCAACTATCTCCTGGAATGCAAAATCACCCTTGGTTGAAAACTACCATTCCAAGTGAAGATTAACCAATCAACCCCTCTTTCTGATTAAAAAAAGCCTCCTCTTCCTCTAAGATCTACTGTGTCCTTGATATTCTTAATCTCCCTTTAGCCTAAACTTGTGTGCACTCACTTTGTCACCATAGTATATAATTTTATGTATCTCTCCAATACATGAAATACTGTTTCCTCCAGCCATTGGTCAGTCTTTTTTTCTTCCAAGTGAAGTTTCAAGAATGACTGTTACAAGTTCCCTTGCTGAGGCTTCATTCCATCTTTAATCTACTCTTAAGTCCCTGTTCACTGACACTGTGCAAAACTGCCAAAGTCCTCTTGATAACCAAGGGCTTAGACCACTGAACTGCTTGGCTGATACCGACTATACTCTCCTTGAATTTCTCTTTTCCCCAGACTTCCAGGGCATTTTTTCCCCCTGGTTCTTCCCTTTTTTTAGAGTTTTGCCATAGGGTACATGCACTTGCCAGAGAGAGAAAGTAAGAAATAATCCCCCAGGGGGATGGTCATGTCACAATATCTTCTCTTCTACTATCTTCTCAGGATGTTGTGCACATACATACATGTGCTGGTGTGATTTTCCAGGTGCCAAGTCTGGGTCTTGAACCATGATTGACCATGTGAGAGCCCAATGCCTTAACTACCATACCACCTGCTAGCTCCATCTTTTCTTTTTCTCTACCTATTCTTTCTTAATCGTCTCCTCTTCATTTGATTGTCTCTTAATACTAATGTTCAGCTAGGTTCTATCCTTGACCTTCTTCCCTTAGAACTCTGCAAGTCTTTCTGGATTATCTCCTGACATAACAAGTACTTAAATTCCTCATCACTTGATTTTGAAATTTCACCTTCCCTCAAATTCTACTCCGTATCCAGCTCACTTGTGACTATTGCCACCTAAGAACACTACAAATTCTAAAAACAAATCCAAATATGCGAAACTGCACTTATCTCCTATTCCTGCCATTCCTGTCTCTGTCTTTTTATTCATTCAGTTATTTCTGTGGTACTGCTATCTATTCAGTTGTATAAGCCAGGACCCTTAGCAAAATCCTAGATTCCAACTTTATCATTACATCCAATCAATCATCAAATCTAGCTTATGCCCCCACCCCCATTCCAGCTAGTTTAAGCTTTTGTATTTCCATGGATTTCTAACTAATTTACTTGTCTTAGCTACTTCTATTTCAACCACTGTGCTACCCCTAGAATGACTTTTTAAACATGGAAATATTGGGTTTTTAGGAAAGTAATGACACATTTGCATAGAAAAACAGAAAAACATGTCACGACTCTTCTGACAACTCTTTATGTTCAGGTCCCTTCCTGGATTACCTCCTCCAGGAGATCCTGTCTGGAGTTTATGTCTAAGCATTTTAGCAGAGTAATTAGGCTCTCTTTGGTCTGGCTCTTGCATTTCTCCCAAACTTCTCTCCATCAGACCTGTGCTCCCTAGACATAATCATACCACACTATATCTCATTCAAGTTAATTCCTTGGCTGGAATGTTTTTTTACAGGTTTATCTACCGAGAACACACTTTTTTATCCTAGAAGCTTCAGGTCAAGCATTTCCTCCTCTGAAAACCCTGGAAACCCTTCCTGGGCTCCCCCAGGACAGATTTAAGAGGGTTTCCTCCTATGCATTCCCAATGCATTGTGCACATATCTTCACTACAGTTCTAGCTAGTGTCTACTATAACCGCCTGCTTGCAGGTGTCCTATCCACCACCCTGTGAGCTCATTAAGAGGAAACGCCTTGTGGGAGCAGCAGTTAGCATAATGGCTATGTCGCTGGACTTCCATGTAGTCAACCGCAGTTCATGTCCCGAACCTGATGGCTTAAAACACGCTGGGCGTGTGTGCATGTGTGCCCAAGATCCCGAGAGGAGAATGGAGGAGAAGAGATTGCGGTGTGGCCATCCCCCCTGGGGGGTGATTTCTCGCTTTCTATCTCTCTGTCTCTCTCTGTCTGTCTGGCGAGTGCACGCACCCTATAGCAAAAACCTCTCCAAAGAAAAAGAGCAAGTGTCTTGTCTAGACACACCTGCTTCAGTGGGGGTACAGAGTGCTCAGCATGGAAGTAAGCATTCAGTAAGTACATGCTAAATGACTGAATGACACATGGTAAATTCAACTGTCAAAAAACTTAATAATATTATAATATATGTAGATGACATGTATTTGTAAAAAAACTATATGTATGTTGCTTCATGGAGTCAAACAGTGCAATTATTCAGTCTAAGGTAAGAGCTAATGTCACATAAAACAAGTTTTTTGGTGTATGTGTTGGTGTGAAAGTTGTTATTTTTAGACTGGGTCTCACTATGTCTTGATCCTCTCATCTCAGTCTTGCTAGTGGCTGAGATTACAGGCATACCCTACTGCATCTGGCCTTTTAGGGTGGGCTGGGAATCAAACCCACGCATCCCATGTGGCTTCAGCCTGTCAAGCAGCAGTCTCCTACATGTGCTCCTTGGTGGGCCTAAAATAAGTTTAATAAGCAATATTAGCATCAGATGAATATTGCTGATCTGAGGGATCTGATGGCACAGGTTAAAATACATGAATTTCTCTGGTTGATAATATATTTATATTCATTTTAAGTTATAAACATTTTAAATTACAGCAAGTAAAAAGGAATGCTCCAGAAAAATAGAACATCTTTATTCTGTGGACTCCAGGAATCTCTGGTATAAATGTGTACCTACTGAGTGGGATGTTGACAGTGTCAGTCTCACAGTTAAAGAGATAAGAATAGAAACAACATCATACTTAAAGCTTCAAGTTCCACTTTGGGTCCTTGTTCTATCACTTAGGCTGTGTGGTGGGTGACATGGGGGTCTACTTTAACCTGAGCCTCCTCAGTTTCCTTATCTGGAAAATGGCTATGACAATATTTGCCTTATGCATTTTACAATGTTGGTGCCAAGATCAAAAGGATTAATAATGTAAATGATGAAGCAAGCATAACAAGCATGAAAAATAAAATTTTTTATCCAGAGAAAATGCAAATGGAAGTATGTAACATTTATTTTTTTAAAACATTTACCTTTGGAGAAGTCAAAGATTTTTCTACTTTGGGTTTTTCCTTGGGGGTTAAAGGTGGAGATCGCTCCTTTATCTGTGGAGGCTGTTCTTGATATAGTGCTGGAATTGAAAAAGGAATTCATATAATCAAATTGAAGAGCACGATGAAAGAAAAGAAAAAAATAACAGTGGAGGGGGCAGACAGGAAATTAAGGAAATCAATATTTGGTTCTTTGGTATAACAACAAGCTACCCAGAACTTATTTAGTATGACAATTTGCAGCCCTCCACATCAGTTATCAAAGAAACATAAGTATGATTAGAAAATCTGAATCAATAGGATTTTAGAAGTGTAGATGGTTTCAATGTCACTATGTAGTCAGGCAGATGCTGATTTCTTTTATCTCAATATATATTTACCGGAATCTGCTACATGCAAGGCTATCTGACAGGTACCTCTACAGGAGATATGAAAATAATCAAAAGACACTCTTTGCTCTCAAGGCGCTTACAATCTTGGTCAAAGAGAGACATGTTCAACAAGTAAGTGAATCATAAAGTAGAATGAAACATTATTCAAAAGGGAGATAATAACAAAGGCAAACTCTCATGTGGAAATAAAGAATGTTTGATGGAAAAGGTAATAGGTATGTAAGCTTCTGAAAAATATGTCACAATCTTGCTAGAGGTGGGGAGAAAGGATAATTTGGGAAGACAATATGAAATGAATAAGCACAGAGCTTGGCTGATACATGATACTTCAATTTACACACAGTGTTGACTCTAAGACTCTTATAATCTAAGATTATAATCTATACCATTTAATATTCAGTCTATACAGGGCATTGAATCTAAAGAGCTGTGTAGGAATTTTAAAGGGTTAAATGGAAAATCTATTTTGATTTAGAGCAACTCTGAATTGAAATTGCTAAAATGTACTTGATCAATATTGTGAAACTAAGATGATAAGATACATAGATTAGGTTTGTATACAGGTTGATTTTATTATTGAGTTTCTTTATCTCTTATTGAAAGAGTGGATAAAGCGAGGTGGATCATATTTTTCTTTTCAGTGGTTTAAGATACAAAGATTCCTTTATAATAATAGGGTACCAACTTCTTCTATTGTGCTGTTCTTTTAGAGGATGCAGCTCTCAATTGAACAGTGGGTAAAGACTCTGCTCATACAAGTACTCCTTTATATTATTTGCTTTGCATATTTGCTTCAGACAAAGATCAAGGACAATTCCTCATACTATATTTAGAGTGTAGCATGCTTCAGACAAAGATCAAGGACAATTCCTCATATTATATTTAGAGTGCAGAATTCTGCTGAAAGTCATTTGTTCTTTAATGTTAAAACTAGGTAGTTGTGTTTTTATTAAATTCAGGTAAAAAGTGGGATAAGAGGAAAAGGAAAATAACTCCCAATGAAGTATGAGAATTCAATCATTACATTTAAAGGTTTTCTGAGATTTTTTTTCCCTTTTCTCTGGCCTTTACAAGCTTTCTCAAGAAGCAGTGACTGAAGTCAAAAGAAAACATCAATTATTCTGGGATACAGTATGGAATCACGGCAGTCAAGAGATGGTCTCTACTTGAGACATGGAAGTAGTTGCAGCATGTAGCCATTAACTATCTCTACTGCAGTATGCTTCAGAAGTCTGACTTTGGTTATTATGGAATAAAAGCAAAATTTTATTTGTTTTTTAACTCACTGAAGATAAAATTTATCAATAGCTTTTCAAATCTGCATGCCTAAGATGTTATTTGTGCAAAGTAACTAGATTCTAAAGTTACAGCACCTAATACCACCCTGCCTGGAGATGACAAAATCTTTTTTATATTATCAAGTGAAAAAACTTTAGAATATTTCGACTTGTATCTGAAAAAAACAATGGATTGAAATAGTTAAAACTACCAAATATTACACATGAATGTGCGTGCAGTGCTTGATTTATAAAAAGAAGCTACACCCTCTTAATCTCAACTGTTGATCGTGCAGAAGAGCAATCTCTGGAGAGGAAAAGTAAAGAATTTGGATATTTTAGACAACCTAGAAGGTAGAAACACTGCGCCTATGGGAAATGACTTAAATGGTGTTTTAACCTTTCTAAAATTTGGGACTTAACATGTTCTAAAATTTCTTCCTTCCACATAGTCTTAAGCTTTCTTCATTATAAACCTTTTTTTAGACAACAACAACTACGAGGGTCCTTTAAAAAGTTTGTGGAAAATGGAATTAACATATGACTTTATATTGGTACAAAAATTTTTGAAATCCATGAATAGTTTTTTTTATAATACACATTTTTTATGAACTTTCCAAAGACCCCCTCATATGCCTCTAATTGATTTTAAGAGCTATCAAGTCATTTACTACTTAGAGAAAAATAATTAAACAGCAGGACAGAAGAAATTAAGAATTTTGTTGTGGAAGAGAGAAGTGGGTATATTTTGAGACACTTAGCACTTCTGAAGGAAGGAGTCTGCTAATGGTGGCAAATAAAGCTGAGGAAAGAATGACAATGAGACTTAGGGCTGCCTGAGACACTGTAAGTGAAGCACTGGGAAGGGCCAGGGTGTAGACAGGGCACTGGTAGGATGTCAAAGGAGAAATCATTTATCCAGCGCCAGCCCAGCACCCAGCAGTCATGGAAGAAATTCTTCTTCCTGCTTTCCTTCATCTCTTTTGCTCTCAAAATTCAGAACTTAGGAATCAGTAGTTCATTTGTTTAGTCATAGTTTGGATTAAATGGGATTTCATGGATTCACTTGAGAACCAACTATTATTTATATATTTTCTTTTTTTCAGAAACAAAAGACTTTAAATACATATTCAAAATATAGAGTGTTCTCAATTCCAAGGCTGCCTATGCTGTTTTAAATCAGAGTCATGTGATTTTGGTATTTCTGGGAGCAAATTTTGAGATGACATAGCTCAACTTCTTTTCATAGGAGGAAACAGGCATATCAGCATAAGCTGAGCTAGGGTTAGAGGGCAGTTTTCCTGACCTGTTACATTGTGCTTTTCCTAATATGCTCTTAATTGTTGACAGGATGCATTTTTTTTGAAGAAGCACTACATACTTCTCCCCTTTAATGATCATAGGAGGAAACAGGCATATCAGCATAAGCTGAGCTAGGGTTAGAGGGCAGTTTTCCTGACCTGTTACGTTGTGCTTTTCCTAATATGCTCTTAATTGTTGACAGGATGCATTTTTTTGAAGAAGCACTACATACTTCTTTAATGAGTTTTAAAATTGGTTTATTTTCTGGCCTCTGTGTTGGTTGTTTTTACTTCTCAAGGTCTAGTAGTGAACCTACATCTTTCAGAAACTCGTGTTTAGAATTCTTCTCTAGCTTTTTTCCCCTTTTAAAAACAAGGACTTAATTTGAGAATGAAACAATCTATTATATTTTTGTTTTAGTAACTAACCAGCTAGGACTGAAGAAACTAGAGGTTCTTAAAATGCCAGTCAAATGAGGAGTCACTGCAGCAAAAGAAAAGGTGACAAAAGTGTGTGTGTGTGTGTGAAGCAGGTAAAAGGAGCTAAGGAAGAAAGGTAACAACTAGAGGGATGGATACCCTGGGGTGAGAATCCTTACAGCAAATATTCCAATCTCAGAATGCAGTAGCTTTCCAGCATACCAGTGCCTCTCCTTTTTATTTTTTGCATTGTGAGAATGAAAAGCAATGCCCATTCGTAAACATATGCAAAGGTTACAAAGACAGTAAATTAAAGGGTAGAAAAATGATACAATCTTGGACTATCAGTTATACCATATTAGTAAACCAGGAAAGGACATAAAACTTACTTTCACTAGCCACATGATTAGCAGGAAAATAACCTTCCTGTCCCTTTCCTATGCTGCCATACCACCAGTCTTCATTATCTTTGAAAAACACTCGGATAATGTCTCCTCGATGGATGGTTAGTTCATCTGATCGATTCGCTGTGTAGTCATAGAGAGCCACTACCTAAGAGAGAGATAAGACCACCACAGCTTTATCACAGCTGTACCACAGAGAAAAACCCCAACATTCACTTCCTCTTGCAGAAGAGCAGCTGAAACCAAAGCAGTACTTTGGTAAGTCTGAGGCCATCTCAAGGTTTGCTAATGGGATCAGGGGCGGTGGGAACACAGCAGGAGAAGAGAGATAAAAGACTGTGGGATTGAGAAATGGTTTAGAGCATTCAATACACTAAGATAGCTTCAAAATAGCAGATGTTAATTTTTCAAAGTAAATTACTTTTGAAGTAAATTTAAAGAAAAGCTCACACATCATTCCCTTTCTTAGAATTGTTTTATATTACCTTTGGATTCCATTCTCTGTGCTAAGCAGATGCATCTGAAAAAAAAAATTCTACAGAAGCCCAGTAGTTTTATAAAAAGAAAAGGCTCTAGGGAATTACCTGGTTGCATTTCATTGTGATCATTTGGTTTATTTTATATTTTTAAAAATAATAATTTATTTTTAATTTTATCTTTTAAAGAATTAGTTATTTTAAATTTTATTATTATTGTTATTACTTTTAATTTTGCTACAGGGTACGTGCACTCACCAGAGAGAGGTAAAGTGAGAAAGCAAGCTATTAGGCCTGGAACTCTAACCACAGTAGACCATGTGGAGGTCTAGCGCCTTAACCACCACACCACCTGCTGGACCCATTTGATTTGTTAATGCCTCTTTTTGTAGATATATTTCTCTACAACCATTTTTTTGATGTTTTATATCAACAACTTACATCTTTCGACTGCCTTAATTTTCCTCACAAGCTTATTTTCACTAAATTTAAGAGAAAAGCCTTTCTATGAGAATCCTCTCTGTTGTTACCGTAATCAGCATTTGATTAAAAAACAAACTTAAATCACAAAGATAATGCAGCCACTGTACAGGCATTTAAAAATCCTCTTAAGGGTCATCTGGTGGTATGGTGGTTAAGGTAGCTTAATTATACATGGCCAACTGAATTGTTGAAGTTTCAGATCTGGCAACTTGAAAAACAGGCTGGGACTGTGTGTATGGATGCCCAAAAGCCTGAAAGAAAGGAGAAATGGAGGAAATGGAATTGCAGCATGACCATTCCACAGGAGGGAGTGCTTTCTCAATTCCTTCCCCTACCCCCCCCCCACCAATGAATTGCTTTCTGGAAAATTAAAAAAAAAAAAATATATATATATAGATAGATAGATATTGGGTTGAAGACCTCAGTCAATTTACACCTGATGCACTATATCAAGTAGGACATAGTAATATGAAAACTAAAGAGTAAACTTATTTCACCATTTTTTCCCTACTTAACTGGGGTCTGAAAATGTCTAAGTTATACAACAATATATGTAACAGCAAATCACCTTTATAATTCTTTGCATTTAGGCTGAGTATGGATTCATTCATTTAACAGCTAATGAAACCATAATGTGCCTGGTACTACACGAAGGCCTAAATATACAATGGTAAATAGGATAGTTTCTACAAGAGATATCTCATTTAGGCTTTTCAGGCCAAATAAACAATAATTAGGACTTAGTTAGGTGAAGAAAAGGAAAGTGCATCTTGGCCAGACTGCACAGCATGTGTGAAAGTCCAAGGAAGAGAAACACAAAATACTCTCAATATGATGGGAGCCTGGTATTAGAGGTGAGAGCCCAGATAGAACGGTAAGGAAGCTAAGGCTACAGGAGTAAGAAGGGATCAGATAATACATGTTGACCAAGTTCAGACTCAATAATATTACCAATAGAAAGACTCAGAAGGATTTTAAGCTGCAGGCCCACTGTATTCTTTTCAATGGCACCCACATCCCCAGTCCTAGGGAACTCCGTGATGTTGTGCTCCTCTTGTTCCTCCCTGTGGCTCTGGAAACTGAACTATCACAACTTTAATAAGTGTTATGCAAATACAAAGTCAGTATATACTTACTTATCCAGAACCTTAGGTGGCCTCTTGGAAAGAAGAGAGATTCAGCTTTGGTAACAGAGTCAATCAGGAAGGCCCACATTAGGCTTGTGTGGTCATGTAGACTACTGACAATTTGGAACTCATGAACCTGAAGTTTGAAAACTGTTCTTGAATTTTCCATAAGGGTGTTTTAATAAAATTGTCCCTTTGGAGGTATGGAGGAGTCCCACCCGGCGAGACCCCAGAATCTGTCTGAGACCCCCCGACTTTTGAGCTCTGCTTCCGGTCAGATCAACACGTTGGCAAGGCCACTGTTGTGCGCCCCCGACCTTGGAACAAAGCTTGGGTCAATTAGCATGTCAGCAAGGCTATTTGCTATTTGCTCCAGAAACTGTGGCAGCCTTACTGGGAAGCGACCCCCCTCTGGCTCCCCAAAATACTACTATAAAATAATTACATAGCTTTCTTATACATCCTGAGTATAAGGTAAAATTTTCCAGGAAGTCCCCCGACCGCTCCCTTTTGCTCTGATCACTTACTATTAATTACAATGCTTTATCTCCATGGTCACAATAGAGGATGGGCTGAAGTTTTTTCTAGGCAAAAATAATCTTGACCTTTGGAAGGTCCTTCAAAATACATTTTAAGTAAACTTAATCCTTTCTTTACGTAAAATAGGATTAGGCCAAAATTGGCCCAGGACACCTCCTCTCTCTCCAAGTGAAATTGATAAATATATTAGGATTCTTCAAATTAAGTTTTAAATCCCTACAAAACTGTATAAGTATCATTTTTTATTAAGATCCATAAAAACTAATATCTATTCTTGAGATTTTTTTTTTCAGCACCATTCCCAGTAATCACAAGATGGCTGCTACGCCACATCAGCTAATAATCATCTCTGCTTACCAGAAACGCTTTCCCGAAACTGCATTCCATGGAGACCCACCTACAATTGTGGAACTGCACTAGACCCGCCCTTAATCAAACCCTGAATTGCACTAGACTCACCCTTAATCCAACCCTGAATAGAATCTATGTTCTCTATTGTTAAAAACTTTATGAGCTGTTAATTAAAACACTAGCCCCTCTCCCTTTACTTGCATGTAACACGTTTTCAATAAAAACGCACGATGATTCCTAGCAGTTGTCACTCCTCAGAGAGCGATCTCTGAGGGGTGTCCGGCAAAGGACGTGCATGAAAAGGCATCAAGGCCTCTGTCTTCTGTTCACCTTCGCCGCCTCCATCGAGATAACCCATCCACGCCGAGGCTAGACCCCGGCAGAGGTATATGGGTCTGTAAGACCTGTAAGATCCCATATTACACTTTTCCTGATAGTATCCACTAATTATTCTCTTACAGAACCAAATATAGCACGCCAAGTTCACATGATTCACTAGTACCTGCAAGCATGTTCTACACTCTACGACTGCATTATGGACTGAATTATGCTCCTTAAAATTCATACACTGACTCCCTAACCAATGTGAATGTATTTGGAGATGTGACCCTTAAAGAGGTAATTAGGGTCACAAGGATGGGGTCCTATACAATAAATAGGACTGAGGTCCTTCAAAGAAGACGAAGAGACTCCAGGAGCGCATGCACAGAGAAAGAGACCAAAGGAGGGCATGATGAGAGGTGGTTTCTGCAAGCCAAGAAGAGAGGCTTGAGGAGAAATCAAACCTACCAGCATCTTGATCTTGGTCTTCCAGCCTCCAGATGTGAGGAAATACATTTCTGTTGTTTAAGTCACCCAGTTTGTGGTATGTTGTTATGAGCCCTAGCTGACTCGTACAGTTCTTTAATCAGATGGTTTCAAGATGAACCACTTGTTAACATCCTGTCTTGGAGCTACAAATGGACTGCTTTGCTTGTATACATTTCAGGTCCCTACCAACTTACAGTACTACGCTTTGCACTGTTATAGTGTCATTTCCTGATGATGACATAATGTCTTTGTCATGAAATTCCACAACTGGTATCCTTAGAAGGTAATGGTTGGTGAGGCTGTATCTTTAAAGCAAAGGAACAGTTTTTGGAGTACTGAACAGTGATATCATTATTTACATTTAAATACAGAATTGGTATATAACAAGGAATCAATGTGTTTAACAAGCCAACATTCTGGTAGTAGACCCTGCCAGACCATTTGGTTATAATTATTCTTATAACATATTGAAGGCTCATGGGATTCTGCTTGTACTCAGTATGTGTTTTCATCCAGGGTGCTCTTATATTCTCATCTGGAGACCACTCAATCTCTTACTATAATTATACACAATAAACATCTTTGCATGTTTTAATGTGGCAGTGGATTTTTAATAAATCATGACTTCCCCATCTTTAATTATACTTTATTTATTAATGTTTTATGATAAAGTAAAAACCTGTAAAAAAGTTGGGAAGCAAAGTCCCATCAAGAAGTTTGTTTTGAATTAATATTATCTCTATTTTCTCTTTGTTCTGTCAGGCCACAACACAGAAAATATGCCTTGACCATTCTCTTGAATATTGTCTTCTATAACTCACTATTCTCTGCACATAGCAGTTTGGAATATAGGCATAAAAGACTATCTTCAGCAATAAGATCCAAATCTTGAGCTTACAGAGTAGTTATGAAATATTTCTGCAACTGACATTTAAAGACATGAGCTAACGTGTTCATGTCTCATTGATGATGTGCTCATTGATAATGATAGGTCTGGAAAATGACATGTTTCACAAAATCCACTTGGTCAAATTTTGACCACTGTTCTTATATTTGAAATAGAATTCCTTCTCTTTTTCAATGCTTGCTGAGTTGTTTGAGCACTATCATGTATGAAATGCCACTGGCAAACTCCATTCTTTGACATGTATTTTCAGTCTTTATAGCAATGTTTTCCAGATACTATTTCTTAGTTTTAAGCAAGTCTGCTAGGCTGTTATAAGGCATTTGGTGAATTTCCCTTTGTATTAGCTTCTAAGAGATTAAATATTATTACAGCTCTCTCTGAAGAATGTTCAGTAGTCCTTGAACCCAGTGTACAGGAACACTAACCAGTAGAGTTCAGCAGAGCAGCAGATTCT